CTTCACCAGCTCCGGCATCTTCATCCTCTTCGTAGTTAGGATCCTTTCTGTCCAATGCCGCATAATCATAGCCGGAAGGGCCCTCCCAAGTGTACTTCCCGCCGTGGCCCTTCTTCGGATCGTGCTTCAAGGGCAGCCCATCCGCCGGGCGGCGCTCCAGCCTCTGAACACCTTTCTCGGCAAGCTTGCGGTCAAAGTGCTTTACGGCATCAACATTCCGCGGCTCCGCCGGGTGGTCGACCGCCGCCTTCATTCTCTGAGATCTCATCTTTCAACTTCCAACAGGCTAGGGCTCTTCGATCTGACCTATTAATGGATGATCAATTTCGTGGATGCGTGAATATATATGCGTCGAATATCGATTAGCTCACCGGCTATAAGCGGGTATATATACTGCTAGCGTCACTCGGGTTTGGATTTTGGAAGCAACCATAAGGCGCTGGAAGGTTCGTGAAGCAGATCGATTTTTCTTGCATTTTGTTTATCCGGTCAACACTAGACTAGAGTTCTCTACACCCTTCCTTTGTTTATTCATAAAATATTATGAATAAAAGATCTATGGACAAAAATGTGACTACATGTAACTATGGATCTGTTTTATGATCACTACGATGTACGGAGTAATATTTAGGAATGTTTTCTTTTGAATTGTTTCCAGTCCCAAATCAGATCAGACCAGACCAGACTTTCGTAGTTATAAAATACACAGAGATCAGACATTTACCAGACCAGACAAGACCAGGCCAGATCAGACCACACCAGACCGGCAAATTTCAGTCCAAAAGAAAACATCCTAAATATAGTATAGTCACTCAAATTACTACGGTCACATTTTTGTTCATTACTTATATTTTAGTTGTATACAATTTAAATACATTGAAAAATATTCAACCGTATAAAAAGAGATAAAGACCAAATTGGACGGTATAGTTACACGTGAATATCATCCTATCTTGTTTGCTACACTTTCCTTTATCACAACCGTAAAGAAAAAAATATTTTCTACTTTTTTCATTCTCCTTCATACTTTTCACCATCTTTCCCACTCTTTCTACACTATTCATTACCCCTACTATTTCACTCTTAAAAAATGTGCCAACACCTATTGTAGCAAACAAAAAGTACGGAGAGATTACAATAATAATACTAGTAGTATAATGCGTCAATGGGTCGTGTGACGAGTAGATGTATGAGTAGATTTATGCAACACGCTAGTATGTTCACTAAGAAGCAAGAGAGGATCTATGTACAAACTATAGTGGATTGAAGCTCTGAATAACTTATTTTTTTTGTATTTTTTTCATTTTTATATTCAGCCAACCCTTCTAATGTTTAAACCGACTTACCGAGTATAATTACTCTTTAGTCCAGGGCATCATAAATTATTGGATCCCTCCCTGCTAATTAGAAGCACGCTGACGAGCGGCGAGATAAAAAACTTATACTCATTCATCTAAAATATTTATAAATTTTCAACCATTCATCACGCTCATTGTTCTAAAACTTGTTAGGCACTAGCCGGGCGGGTGAGGGGCACCTAAGCGACTAGATCGGATTTTTTGCCGACTATGCTGATTAGTTCGATCTCTACAGTTGGGATTGTCTAAGTCGATTAATCGGTCTAACTAAGTCGATTTTCTGATAGACTTATGGAGCACACTAGCCTACTCTAAGGAGTTCATTATTGTGAACGAGCATGTTAGCTTGCTCTATACTTTTTCTCGCCGTGGGATACTATGTTGTCTTTAAGAGGACTCTAGTGAAGTTTTTTATGCTTAGGCGGCCCAAAAACCATCGTAGTTTTAGCCGGACCAAAAAGAGGCAAGTCATCTAAACAGAGTACTTAAATATACCCCTATATAATATAGAAAGCATGCTAAAAAATAGAAAAGTGTGAGGGAAACATGACGTGTTTTAACATACTACCTCCGTAACGGTGGAATCTTCTCAGTTTGACTCTTTTGGGTCAAACTTTATAAACTTTGACCATTAATTATTCAAAACTCACATTATGTTATGATTAAAAATTTATTTTATATACCTCATTGTAAAACATATTATTTGAATGTTAATTTATTATGAATTTCATAAATATAGATATGTAGATATTTAGAGTCAAAGTTCAACTTAGAAGACCGTGAAAAGTCAAAATGGGAAGATCTTTGTGTTACGGAGGTAGTAAGTAATTTTTATTTACTTGGTAATACTTGATATTCATTTTTTCTTGATTTATTCAATTATTCGTGTCTATTTTGTAGAGACTACGAAGCCTGAATACTATAAACAGAAATTTAAAATTAATAATACCCCTGTTTTTGTTCGTGTGGTGGGTTCACTTGAATCGGTTTTGATGCCTAAATTCAAATGTCGAACTAAATTTGAACAATTCATTTGATTGATTTCAATTTGATTTCTGGCTTTTTTGTTTTTTTTTCCAAAATATTTCTGTTAATTGAAAACATGGTAATTCAAAAAAAAAGCAAAGGCAAACATACATCATCAAGCAATACTTAGTGGCAATACATTTTTTTGGAAGAGCAATACATATATTTAATTTAATCAAAAAGAGACAAAAAAACCATAGACACTTCCGAGCAATAAATTAAGGTAAATTACATCCTACCCCAAGTTGTACCATCCACACGTATAGCCGTTTTAATGCTCCGTATTTGGTTTTACGCATGCTCCGCATACTGGTGATGTTCTGGACTTCTCTGCTTCCTTATTTGACTTTCTTTTTTTTCTTTGACCATCTTTTATTTAATTTTATATTAGATTATTATGAGAATATATAATACGGAGTATGATATACCGATAGTATTATTTAATGTCTCATACTTTTTTTCTTTTCAAATTAATCTTCTAACCTAGTTTTTTTAGTTTGTGCATTATAAAATATTTTAGGTATTAATGTTTTATTTTTCTATTTTTAATTTTAAGATGAATGTTTATTAATTTATTAAATATTGTGTATTAATTACTAACATGAGCTTTACGTTATACTACAATGAGTATAGTGTAAAATAAATATGCATGAGTAAATATTATTAAAAGAATACGATTATATTTGTAATTCAAGAACGGATGACTATAAATTATTTTTTATTTTCTCATAGTTACATATGACGATAGTTTATAACGAATCTACTAGAAGTGCATATTATAGAAAAAAGTTTATGTTATATTCGAATGAGTATAACAATTAAACGAAACGAACACACACAATGAATATTTGAGCACAAATTAGAGAGTTAAAATGAGCATTTTAATTTTTTTATGCTCGTTTAAGTTATGTATGCTCATCTGGTAATGATTTTATGTTCATTTTAAATTGCCAATTAATGCATATTTCAAAAATATCATATTACATTACAAGCGCATAAGAGTTGATTACATACATGAGGGCAGAGATCATGATATCCAGTTGCATACTTCTAATACTTAGTAGACAAAGTTTGATGTTCAATGAAAAGTCTTGATGTTCCACTAACCAAGTTTACAATTTTCATATCAATGCTCATTATGTAAGTTATGTATGCTCATTTGATATTGATATTATGCTCATTTTAATATGTCATATCAATGCTCATTTTGTAAGTTATGTATGCTCATTTGATACCGATATTATGCTCATTTTAACATGTCATATCAATGCATATTTCTAAAGTAACATATTACATGAGATTCATATAGTGATATTCATAGGAATTGATTATAGATATAATTTAATATATTTTTATAAAAAGAAAAATTAAAAAAAGAAGATGAATTAGAAAATATGAAGCAGAGATCGGGATGCTCATTGTTAGCTTCCTAATGCTCAATAAAATATACTTGATGCTCACGAGAGTAGAGAGTATGATACTCAATTACATGCTTCTAATACTCAATAAAAAAGGTTTGATGCTCAATGAAAATGTGTTGATGATCAACTAACAAAGCTTATTATTTTCATATCAATGCTCATTTTGAAAATCATTTATGCTCATTTTGTACTGATGGTATGCTCCTTTTAAAATGTTTTATCAATGTTTACATTAGATTCACATATTGAAATTTATAGGAATTGATTATAGATATAATTTAATGAGTTTTATAAAAGAAAAAATAAAAAAAAGAAAGTGAATTACAATATATGAAATTGATATCACAATACTCATTATTCGACTCTTAATGCTCAATAGAATACGTCTCACGCTCATTAGAAGTGTACCAGTGCTCATCTAACGAAAATCACGATTTTCACTGATATTACGAAAATGCCACCGTTTTTTAGTTATGATAGTAGCTTTCTTGTACTAACACGGCGCTCATTAAAATTGGACTATTGCTTATTAAAAGTACACTAATGCTCATTTAGCAAAAACCAAGATTTTCACATTAATTACAAAAATGCCACCGAATTATTTTGCTATTTTCCCTTGGGCCTGTTACTGGGCCGGCTGTACGGTGCTCACCGTACAGCCGGTTGTATCATATACATACTCATAAATTAAAGACCATATTTCTCTTTGAGCTTTCTCTAAAATAACTATATGCATAATTTAGTAACAAAAGTTTGATAGAATTTGTTACTCACAAAAGTAACTATCTGCCACAGTTCCTTACAGAGCATTCTGTTCCATTATTCTCACAGAATGAACAAGAAAATGCTCGTGTTACAACCTATATTCATTTTTAATCACAATCTGAAATGACAAAATAAAAAGATTCATATGAATTCTGAGGGGAAAATACATAAAATATGTTCATCATTGTACTATAAATTTGAAGAACAGAACAAAGAACAAAAAGCATGATAAGAAAAAGGACATTAAAAAGGAAAAAAGGATAATACAATGAAATTCACAAACAAGAACGAGCTTGGACTTAATAGAAAAAAAGTAAACAACCCGTACATACATTAAATTATGGATACTCGACTAAATGTACGTGACACGACGGGTGGTGCAATATGGACTCAACCTGACTATCTATTTAAGAGGTAGCTGCAGAAACCCATCGCCCGATAGTTTGGAGTTGTCGATATTTCTGAATGTCATCTTTCTTTTCTGAGCATCTGAAGGCAACTTCACATTTTTAGCAAGACCAAGTTTTTGAAGTGTCCAAATAGTGCACCAACTTGTGTCAAGTTGCCACCATTCTAGACCATGCCTTGCCGAGTGCTCAAAGGCATGATGGTTATTATGCCATCCTTCTCCGAATGCTAACAATGCCACAAACCTGAAAACAAATTAATTACTCTAACATGCAATAATAACCATGGTATTAGTTATCAGGTTTGACTGTTTGAGTATTAGAATGAAGAGATTTTAAGAAAATGAAGACTGACATGTACACATGGTGAAACAAGTAAACAACTATTACAATATGTGGGATACAAGTCTAGATCTAATTATCGACTTTTGCTTGGACATATATTTTTCTAAATCTATTATAATGGTGTTTGGTTTATCATAATCAATATAAGTGACATATATTAAAATATAAAAATGTGATTAATTATGAAATAACAGAAAACCGAAAACACAAAACCACAAGCCTAAAAAACTAAAACTCTGATTAGGACTAAATGAATTCAGATGTTTTCTTTTGAACTGAAATTTGCCGTTCTGATTTAGTGTGTTTTGTTCTGGTCTGTTCAAGTCTGGTCTGGTCTGATCTGAACTAGTCTGGTTTGGTCGGATAAATATCTGGTGTCTGTGTATTTTATAATTGTTCACATCTAGTCTGGTCTAATCAGGTGTGTTTAAGTCTGGTCTGATTTGAGACTGAAAACTGTCCAAAAGAAAACATCATTAATTAATTAGTACCTCCAATTTCTTAATTTTGTTTTCTATTCATAATTGCTGAAATTTGTCTTTTCATATCATATTTAAGAAAAATTGGACATTATTCCCTAATAATTTTATTGTATTACTATTATTATTATTGTATGTTAGAGTTAGCTTCTTGTTGGAAACATGGTAATGTTTGACAAATTAGTGACAGGAGTTAAGGGCTGGGAACCTAAGGACACGTGCAATAAATTTGTAAAGAACGATTTTTTGTGCACGGTGGTGCATAGATGACGGTGAAAATCTTGTGGGTTGTTCGAGCTGAGAAATTCGGATTTAGATTTCTTAAGAATTTGAGTAGATACTTGGAAAGTGGGAACTTGGAATTGATCCGGCCCGTGGAGTCGGAATCACCTTCTCCAGACAAAAACATTAAAAACAAGAATTCAATAAACTAACCAATTATTTCTAGACAGATCACCAGTGTTCCATGCTTGATGTCCCCACATGTGGCACACAGAATTCACAAGGAATGTTATGTGGCCTAGATATACAATTCTTACTCCCTATATATAAAGTCAAATAGCAATCCAAGCCTTATTATATCAAAATAATAATGATCAAAATAATTGAAACCCCAACGAATGCATACATACCATGCACCAAACTATGTACGGAAATCCACCAATTGAAAAAAGAAATGCTGCAAGCATAATATGGTGTATTATATAGGTTTTTTGAATGAATTTATAGAAAGCCTGATTCTCCAAATCCGCTACATTTGTTAGCTCCTCACGCTGCAAGTACCCACAAACCAAATAATGTACTCCGTATAACATAATTAATGCACACTAGCTGTTAACAATATAATATTTAGTTAAGATAAATTGGGTAATTATTACTACAAAAATAATTGGTACCCTCGCTTTGGCGGATTTGGAGTCGTAGAGCCATCCCATGTGACTGAACCAAAACCCTTGAATGGGACTGTGAGGATCTTTCTTTGAATCAGTAAACCGGTGGTGGTATCTATGGTTACTCACCCAACCAATTGGATCTCCCTATGTATAGGAATAAAACCGAATAGCATATTTAAAAATATTGTGCACTTAACCATTTATGTGTGCTCACGTTTGTGATATACCATGAATTCACATATACCACACTGAAGTACGTACTTCATACCTTCAAGTGCATGACCATTTGCAACCAATGAACTAATTATAATACGTATAGTAGTAGAATATATACTAATTAAAATATTTGTCTTGTGATGAGATTAAATTAATATTTGAAATCCGATACAAATATATAAGTTCATAAACTTGACAAATCTAGATTTACATAATTGTTAATAAGTAACACTCATAAATTATAATATGCAATCGTGTATGCACATAATGTTGAATTCCCTCTGGAAACTTGTGAAAGAATTAAACGCTATATTAATATTTAGATTACTTCTCCTATCAGGTTGACCTTTTAGAATGAATTTTTAAGTCTTAACATATAAAAGATACAAGAGCGAGCTGAGATCATAATAATTAATTAAAACCTGAAGAGCTTGAACACCTCAATAAGGATGTTTTCTTTTGGACTGAAATTTGCTGGTCTGGTCTGGTCTGGTCTGGTCTGTTTTAGTCTGGTCTGGTCTGAACTGGTCTGGTCTGGTCTGGTAAACGTCTGGTCTCTGTGTATTTTATAACTACGGAAGTCTGGTCTGGTCTGGTCTGTTTAAGTCTGGTCTGGTCTGGTCTGGTCTGGTCTGTTTAAGTCTGGTCTGGTCTGGTCTGTTTAAGTCTGGTCTGGTCTGGTCTGGGACTGAAAACAGTCCAAAAGAAAACATCCTAAGCAAGAAAATACTCGAGCCATTTGGGAACCTTGAAACTCTTGTGGGATAAATTCCTATGATAGGAGACAGTGATTCCAAGGCCGGTGAGAATGTATAACCCAAACGCAATCCCAAGAGCATCCCAACTGAAACAGAATGGGTGGGGCAAAGAGGCAAAGCAAGTGAAGCAGAGGCACCGCCACACTTAACGTTAGCTTATTGCCTGGCTGGATAATGCACATATACTTTTCCATTTCGGTAATTAGTTATATTATGTCTAACACTCCTTCTCCAGCTCACAAGGATTTCGTAAAAGGAAACAATAACACACTATTTATACTAGCACTTAAGTAATGTATCATACCCCAGTCATGTGCTTGGCTCTTCCACGTACCACAAGTACGTTTGTGACTTTGTGTACGTAGATTTAGAAGAAAAACAGGTATTTATATACCAAGTATCTTGAATTGGACATTTTGTAGACATCGTCTAGAGTTGGTTTACTACGCAATCATCTTCATTGGAATTAAATTACAAACAACTCATGATTATGTGAAAGCATATTTCAAGCATCTAGCTCTAAATCATTCATAAAGATAGCTGTTATGTATGCCTTGACAATATGTGTCCATATCAAGCAAATCCTGTCAATTCGTAAATCGTTTACATAGAAAGTTATTGTTTGTGAATAGATATCGGTTATTTGCGTGCCCATATATATCTTTGTATTTTACATGTGCTTATGTGTTGCTTGGGTGCATGAAACCCGTGTCTTAGCTTTAAGAAAACATGAATTGGATGGACAGTAGTTGTCTAGTTGACTAGTTGGCTATGGTAATTTGTAAGTCACAACTCTCTCTATAAATATGAATATATCATCTTTTTTAAATGGGTAAAGAGAGTTTAAGTTATTTGTACACTAAACTAAGCTAAGAATCATTAACTCTATTCCTTGAAATTCTATCTAATTAAGACTTAAATAGTAACTCTATTAATACTCCTAGTACTTCATAAATTACATGATGGGGGTGTTTGTAATTAAAATGAGGTTTCAGGAAAAAAATGGTGGCTTGAACCCTTTTAGCATTTATGATAAACGAAAACGCAGTTTGGTAAATAGCTGTCTGACCCTAGCATTTATGGACAAAACCGTTGAGATGAAAACACTGCTAATAGGAGAGTTTAATTTTGAGTTAACATTTTGAAAAATAGTGTTTTCTAATAATTTTTATGCCCGAATAGTTAAATTACCAAACATCTTCTGGTAATTTGATATTGACGATCCGCTAACATGACATGCTATCCGTTGACCGCTTAAATAGTAACTCTTTCCGATCTCTTCAACTTTGTGAATTTAATAAGATGTACTCCCTCCGTCCCAAAATGATGATCCTGTATTTCCTTTTGGGATGTCCCAAAATGATGGTCTTGTTTTCCTTTTTCGTAAAAAACTAAAAGTGAATTACCATTTATACCCCTCCTTTTTAATGAACAGTAAAAGTAAAAGGATGAACATTACAATAAAGTAAGGTTCTTTAGTCTTTCTACCACATATTCTTAATCTTTGTGCCCAAAAGAAACAAGACCATCAAATTGGGACGGATGGAGTATGTAGTATGTCTTAAATACCTATATTTATATTAAAAAAATTCCTCTCTCTCAAAATAACTATTTTCATCTGATCTCTTCATGGCCGCATCAATAGTCTTCATTCCATTTAGCATAGTCAAAACTTTCCATTTTCAAGTTTGTTAATGCACAACTTTGACCACTGACATATTTCGTTCCTTAATTATTATATTGCTAAAAAATTTAAAAATCATAATTTAAATTTTAAATGAGAGGAATTGACAATAGTTCTAAAAAATTAATTTCTTATACATTAATAATAAATAAAATGCTATCAAAGTACAACATGCGAATAGTTGGGGTGACATTTTGGAACTGGGAACCGGAGAACTGGTTGGAACCAAACCATTATAACCCGGCTTGGTTCCTACAAATGATCGGTACTATGTACTATCGTATTAGTTTTAAGGTTCAGGTCATGTTCCTATAAAAAATACATGCAGAAACAGTTGAGGAACCGCTACTAAAAAAAAAAAAATAATAATAGTGATAATAATATAATAACAACAATATTAAAAATAACAATAACCACCACCACCATCACCACAACAATAATAATATATACAATGAATAATATTTAGCCAACAATTGTAAATTAATTATATAAGTATAAAATAACTCGAATAACTTGTAGTGATTGCCTACGGTTTACTTTACTATCTTTTTGATATTTCAAATTATTAGATGTATTATGAATTATGCAACTAGTGAGTAGATTGTAGTGATGCTTTTATATCTATACATGTGAACTCAATGGATTTATTAGGGTTTGAAATGCTTGAAGTGGATGTCTTATTCTTGCTACTATGATATGATGATGAACTTTAATTTCTACCACACGACAACGATTTTTATATTTTATTTATTAAATGAAAATTGAAAGTATTTAATTTTTAATTGTTCACTTAATTAATATTTGTGTTTCGAATTTTCAAAATTTTTATGTGGTAGAAAAAGTAAACTATGCGTTAATTCTTAGGTGAAATAATTATTCCAGAAACTGATAAAAGCTAAGCAAGAACAGAACTTTATTGGTTCGTCCATAGTGGTTCTTGATTTTTTATATAGGAACCGAACTCATATCATTGGTTAATTTTTTTTATAACAGTTCCACTAATTTTGAGTAAGAACCGAACCGATCCTAAACCTAGCGAATACTCTAAAATTCAATATGTTACAACTATATAAGAAGGGAGATTTCCCTAAATAGGATTAAATATAAGGAAAATTGCAACAATAGGAGATTCAAGTTTTAATTCCCAAAATAGGATTAATTGTTCCTATTCTACCCTTTCCCTTATCATTCTAATAGGATTTTTTAAATAATAATAAAACATAAACAAATTTAAAAAACATACAAAATAGATAAAAATTATATAGGCCTCAACCACCACCTCACCCACCTTCCAATGCCGCCACCTCCAGTCGCCGAAAAGAATGCCAAGTTGAAAAATGTCATGGCAATGGCATGCAATTTTGAAAAAAAAGCTGGATATTTTTCAAAGAGTAAAATGTCATCTTCATGACGTTTTCAGAGAAATATGGCATTTTTTACATCAGATGGCATTTTTACCCGGCGACTGGAGCTAGTGGTGCTGGGAGATGGAGGACGCGGTGATAGTGGCCTACATATTTTATTAAATATTTTTTAGGCATTGTATTTTATTTTATTGTTGACTTTTTTTAAAGTTTTTTTTATTTTTTATATTTTTTATTTTTCTTCCACGTTTTTATGATTAATTTATACATATTTTTATTAATTTTTATATTTTTTATAAATAAAACTATAATTTTCTTATGAAATCTATTAGGAATTATAGGAATTAGATAGAATGAGAAGAAAGGACATATGTTAGTCCTTTTTTGAGAGTAAAAAGATTGTAGTCATATTGTTGAATTTTGGGCTAATTTGATCTTATTTGAGACTAATACTCCACATAAGAATGAAGGTAGCACATTGTTTTCCTTAATTAATATTCATCACAACGCGGCCATATCATGCATGTTTTACAAGCAAATACTATCGTACAACCAGTTGTACCTAGAGCATGGTATAGCCGGCAATTCCTAATTAGTTTCAACTTAAAGCCTAATAGTTAAGTTGTC